CAGACTTTTCAAATTTTTTATTTTTAGACAGCTTCATTAAGACACTACATTGCCCAGGCTGGGCTTGAACCTGTGATGTGCCTGCCTCAGTCTCCCAGTGCTAGGATTACAGGCATGTGCCACTAGGCCTGGCAAATGCTTTCTATGTAAGTGGAGCCCAGTGGAAGTTGCACAGTCATTATTTTAGAATTAGTAGCCTCTCAATGTTTTAATGAAATGAATTGGCTGGTAGCAAAATTGTAAATTATCTATCTGATGCTTCCTATGAAGTATAATTAGTGTTTTTGATAGAATCATTAAGTTTCTCAGTTGTGGAACTAATATTCTCCATTGACAAAAGCAGCTGGGTATGTCATTTTAATTTTAGTGCTAATATTTCAGTTCATATGAATTTTCCAGTAAAATAAAACAAACAAACCAGTTTTTGTGGAACAGGAAAAGAATGATTTTGGGAAGGCCTCCCCTCCCCGAAATCTATGATACTAAATAACAGACTTTCAAAAGTACCACATACAGCTGGGCTTAGTGTTGCAGGCCTGTAATTCCAGCACCCTGGGAGGTTGAGGAGGAGCCTTAGTGAGACCTACTGTCATGGTTTGCATCTATATGTCACCACAAAGCCTCATATGATTACAGGTGAGGCTTTTGGAAGGTAATTGGATAATGGGGGCATTAAAGCTGATTTGCTGTTTGGAGGGGAATAGGTTGGAAGAGGTGGGTTACTGTAGCCCAGACCTGGAAGGTTAATTTTCTTGCTGGCTCCTCCCTGCTTTGTGGTTGCCTAAGGTAAGCCATGCCCTTCTGCTTTGGAGCCAGGCAATCATGGCCTTCACCTCTACAAACTGTGAGCCAATATAAATTTCTCCTCCTTAAAATGTGCATGTTGGATATTGGGTCTTGATGGCCAGAAAAGTGACAAGACTACCCATTTCAAAATAAAAATGTGAGGTCATGTAGCTCACTGAGAAAGACCTGACTCTCTCAAACAGGAGGAGACAGCCACTGATTTTACTTCTTGTTTTCGAACATCTGAGTTTCTCAAACTCTTTCTCTCTCTCCTCTCTCTCCCTCCTTCCCTCTCACACACTCACTCACACACAATATTATCAACTAGTTCCTTGAAAAAATCTGTTCTGTCTTTCTACTGAATGGGCAGTACTGTTTTTGTTGACAACTTTACAAATATATTTTTCACTTTATTTTATATCCTAAACATATTCATAAATTGGAATACAGCCAAGTAGTGCTTTCAAGTTATCATCTACGCTGAATAGATTTTTCACTTACAGAAAAGTCACAAAATATAGTCTCTGCCCTTCTCTTCTGACAAATAACTTTAGCTTAATCTGAAAATAGCAAATACCACACCAAATTCTAAAATTAAAAAAAGTTTGAACCAATTCCTTTTTGATCAGTTGGTGAGATATTAAAGTTAGCAACTAATCTAACTTCTTTAGAAGACTAGTCATTAACACCTAGGAATGTGGCTGTTAGTGTTTACTGAATACCACTGGGTGAGTCAGTTGAGACTCTATTCATCCAGCAGAACTGCTGAAACAGCCTTCTTCCTAAGTTTTCTCACAAGCAGCTTCATAACAGTGATGTTCCTGGTTGTGAGTATCCATCCATTTAGTATGGTTGGGCCACACTGACTACGAATGGACTGTTTGGATGCATAATACAGTCAATGTCCAAGTAAGAGAACTCTATTTGATCTTTTCCTGATGAAACAAATGTATCACTATCTCCTTCCATGAAAGTTTAATAATCAAATAAGAAATCTTACAAGTCTGCTAAATCAAGCATGTCTTCATCAGCATATATACACACACAGGAGGGTGAAGTATAATCATCAGTAATTGCTGTGTTTCATTCACCAAACTGCACAAGCACATGTAACATCTGATACAAGTAGGTTGGGTTTGATTGTGTGTGATGGGAACAGGACGCAGAGCTGGCACTACACTGTGCCCTCCCTACAGAGTTCTGTTATCTCCTAGCGCCCCAGCACCGTACCACTGAATCATGAAAAATACTGCTAAAAATCACACAATGTTAGATGTTTATGATTTTATAGGGCCATGTCTAGGACTACACACAGCTTGAGGATGAAAAATAAGAAATTGTTTTAAGCCTTGGTATTAAAAGAAGCTTTACTAAAATCAGGTAGAACTTTAGCTGAGCGCTACTGTATAACCACCATGTTCAGGAATCTGTTTCCCTATTCCTAGGAAGACATTCTTCTTGCTCATTTTCAGGTCAAAGCTGTGGTGGATACTAAAGAGGAAATGAAGAGAAGTAGAGCTGGATTCCTGAAGGAATTAACTAATGTAGATGGAGAATTTGCATCTTTTTCATGTTCACCCACACATCTAACATAACCTAGAATGTCAGGAGCACCAAAAAAAAACTAAGAACAAAGTAGAATTTTAAAACAGTTCCGATACAAGATGGTAAAATATCAACCCACAGAACTACATTCAATGCTAGTCACAGGCTAACCTGCCAAGGCAGAGGCCTGGCCTTTTTTAAGGCATTTAACAAAACTTCTTCTGTAAGTTACTTGTTCCTGCTATCATTGGGCTGCTTTTATAACAATATACTATCAGTACTCTTTTAAAGCTTCCGTGAAACACTTGAGTCAGTCATAGTCAGAAGAGTTTTACAACTATAATTTTTCAATTTATTCATCTACTGACAATGACTTTATTCTTCAGTGAAGTTAGGTATCATAAATCCTACTACCATGATACATAATCTAAAATTTAGTATCAAAGAACCTATCTCCACAATAATATAATCTTTAGAAAACATCTGACCATATCATAAAAATCCCTTCTAAGATGAAGGATAAGGAAGTAAAATAATGTAGGGACAATAAACAAGACACAACAGAGTTTAGCTCCCACTTCAGACATGGTCTATTTCCTATGCTCAGCTGGGCATGGTGGTTTACACCCATAATCCTTGCATTCTGGGAGGCTGAGTAAAGGGGACCACAAATTTGAGCCCAACTTGGGCAGTTTAGCAATTTAATGAGAAATGGCCTCAAAATATTAAATCAAAAAAAGGGGGCCTGGGGAGAGACCTCAGTGGTAAGGCCTTGGGTTCTTAGTACTGACAAAATGTTTTATATCACAATTACAGAAATGAATCAAAAAGTGGTATAAATCTTATCTGTAAAAGAACAGGGGTTCTAGTTAACCTAAAAGGCATGCTGCAGATTACTCAGGTAACGCGGTGTGCCAAATTTCGCCAGCACTTAATCTGACTAGCACTCATTTTCCTGGAATGTCTAAACATGTTATTAAAAATGACATGCTGATGAATACCTTTAGATATTTTCAGGCAGTAGTTCTCAACCCTAACAGTGAACATGAATCAACTAGGAGCTTTCAAAACATGCTGTCATTTTTTTACACAGACATTCGAATGTAATTTCTCTGTGGTGGCGGGAATATGTTTTATGTGAAGCCACAAACCACTGTTGTAATGAGAACCTGTTATGATTAATTTTATGACTTTATCAGTAGAAGTATAAAAAAATATGCTGTGAGAGATGAGTATGCTTTTAGAAAAAAATCACCTTTTCTATAGGTTTCAGAAGATAGTTTGTGAAAAATAAAGTTATATTTTGTACTTGCTAAACTAAAGAAAGAGAAGACTATAAAAGTAATGATATTACAGTCTTTACTGATGCAAGCTTTTTTTAAAAATGTGTGTTGGTTCAGGACATTTGATAAATTGAAAAAGTTGTATTAGTTCATATATATTTTTTCTAGCACTACCACAGTTTGAAGCAATTATAGTTTTTTTTTCATTATTCCAAAAAAAAAAAAAGGTTTACAAGCACATAAATCTCTGAATTCTAGCAAAATTCTACATAAGACTTTTCTTTAATAAGGACTTCAAGAACTATTATACTGTTAAAGCTATATCAAAAAGCTGAGAATTCAGGAGCACAGATACAGAAGACACATATTTTCTTCCTATGTTTCAAAAGCATCTACCTGGTGGGGTTATTTATATACCCTTGGTCAGAATTAATTTTTTGTTTTTCAATACTGGAGGACTGAATCACTAAACTAAACTAGCCTTCACACTAAACTAAGTCCTCAGTCCTTTTTATGTTTTAAGACAGGGTCATGCTACATTGCCCAGGCTAGGTTTGATTTTGTAGTCCCTGCTTTACCCTCCCAGAGTAAGGATCATAGGGATGTAACAGGTCGCCTGGCTTAAGAATTTAATGTTCATTTAACTCCTTTTCATTCAAAGTAAATACCCCCTGCAAAGATCCATGTTCCAAAGGAAGGAAAAACTAAAAAAATAAAAAATTCAATAATGCAAATGATCAACTGGACTATTATTCTATATTTTGATGCAATACAGATCTAACCATGTTGTAAAATTTTTTTTTTTTTTTTTTAAACAAGGATTGCTCTGGTTACAAAAACTCTCTGGTAAAGCGTAACAGTGGAGGGCCAAGGATTCAGTGGCATAAGTACCTGCCTTGTGGTGTGGAAAGAGAGGCAGTTCCTAACTAGAGCTGGATCCTCAGCTTCTTCATATAGCTTAACAGTGGGAAGAGTAGCAGTGCCTAGCCCTGTTTCCCCTCGTAAGTTTTTCAAGAATTCATATATGGTAATAGAACAGAAATATAACATACTAGGACAGGTGAGGGCATCTCCTAGACAGTTCTCCAAACATAGCTCAGCTTCCAAGTACAGGTGGGGACCCCTAAGGAGCCTCTGTCTCCCCACCGTATGCACACGTGCACACCTGACACAGTACAGAAACAGTGGCAAAAGACAGCACGGTGACAGTTACTGGCAGAGAAGGGCATAGGCAAGGGAGGGCCAGGCTGCCACGGGGTGACCCCGGCTTGGGCGTCCTATGGGTTTCAGGCACTGGGTGTGTACCGTAGCACCAGGCAGCTGAAATTGTTCTCCTTCAGTGAGAATGGACAGAGACAGAGACAGGCAAGACAGATTAGCTGGTACCTTCTCTATGGACCCGGGGGCAAGGGAACAGGCCACTGTGCATATGCTCACTATGGCTTGACACTTCTTGAAGAAGGAGTGAGACCTGTGGGCATCCTTCAGCTGGGACAGGCAGTGGTTTGTCACCTGAGGGGAGAGGGGCCAGGTCAGTGATGTGGGGACCTACAGGTGGAAGCTGAGTGGGTAAGTTACAGAAGCAGGCAGTGGCTGGGGTGGGAGGACGGGCATAGCTCAGCAGGGGCGTGAGCTTCGGGGTATGTTGACTGCCCTGCCTTCGGGCCCAAGCTGGCTTCTTTATCCCACAGCTGCCCCAACCCACCCTGAAGTGCAAGGAGCCCTCCCCTCGGCGGGGCCCTTGAAAGCAGTTGTCCACCACCACTCCTGTCTGTAATACGGCCAAAGACTACCACAGTGACTATATGCAGCCAGGCATCACAAATGCCTGGTGCTCAGGGAGGCTAAGGCAGGAGGACTGCAAGCTTGAGCTCAGCCTGAGCAAGTTAAAAAAAGAAAAAAAAAAGAAAGAAAAAAAAAAAAAAGAATTAAGACAATGAATTTCAAAATTAGAAACAAATTCCAAAATACTAAGCCACTAAGTTATGTGAGTACATGCACAGGCATGCTCTTATCTATCTATCTATCTATATCCTCAAATCTAAAATGAGCTTTCTTCCTTGAAGGTCAACTTTCTTTCCTTTCTATTTTAATGCTTTTACACATGATCACTTTTTTTGGTCACTGGGTGAAAGGACTGTGCCTTGAGTAGTAATATCTTGATTTACATGAAAATTAAATTTGCCTTTACAGCAAATGATCATGAGTTATCTTTTGAATTTCGAGAAAAAGCACTCAAACTCTTTAGGATCCTCTGAATGAATCTTATACTGGGCCAGAGATAACAAAAACTGCTGAGCTTAGCTATCCCAACGGAAGGAAAGGTGGACACCAGAAAATCTTGAGAAATTCTTAAATTGTTTCACAGGATTTATGAGGTACAAAGAGAGGAAAACAGCAGCAGTCTGGGAGAACCTGCTGCATTGTATCAATGTTTGGACTGTATAGAAAGGGATCATTGTGGCTTCTAAGTCCAGGCACCTTCCTATTCATTTCCCTTTGTCTTCAAATTCCAAGATATATTTCTGTTTTCTGTCACATATAGCTATTTTTATTGGTATCACCCAACATTCTGCATAAAACCTATGTAATCAGAGGTGAAGACTGACAATCTGTCTTTTTGACCAGAAGTAGTTAGAACAGCAAAGTATCAACCTAAATGAAGCCTGACAGCCCAAGAACTTGTACACACACAGAAACAAAAGTATCTGGGAAAGTATTCACAGCTTTTCACCAAGTTCTTAATGAGAACTGAGATGATTATAATGCTAAGAAATAAAACCAAACCCACCATCTAGAAAGCCAGTGTTATCTATTCAAAAAAGATACACACTGTGTAAAATGCTGCCCTGTGTATTAAGTATATCCACAAGTACAAATTATAGCATGTACTGTTGTAACACTAGGGAGCAAGATAAATTTAGGAGGCCTTATTTCCCAGTGTGATGTTCTCAAGCTTTAAAAGCTGGGGCTTTCATGTGAAGGGCTTGACTCTAATCAAGGACAGATGGATGAAAAGGATGCCTTATTTCTATTAGTCTTTATACTAGGAAGTTTACAAGGCTGGGCGAGGAAGTCTGTAATCCCAGCCCGTGGGAGGCTGAGGCAGTAGTAGTTCAAGGCTAGCCTGGACTACAAAGGGAGTGCAAGGTCAGCCTGAACTGTAGAGTAAGACCTTGTCTCAAATAAACAGATACACACAAAGAGAGAGAAGAGAAGAAAAAAAAAGTTTATAGACATTCTCTGATTTAGTTACCAGAAATGCCCTGCAAGGAAAGCCTTTTGGTCACTGTTAGGCTGTCAAAACCACAGTTTTAAACTTATCTCAATGGGTTAGTGACAACTCAATTACATTACTACATTTCTGCAATGGTTTCATTCAGTAACTACTACAAAGTCCATCAACCCCTATACACTCCTGCCTCTGAGAATCTCCACAGATCCCAAAACTCTAAATAAAATTAGCAATCTACTTTTTAATCTGGAAACAGTATGACTTACAAGTTGGTCTCCACTGTCCACCAACAATAAATACATTTTATCTAAATATCACATGTAACATTTTACCCCAAATCCTTAAATTTTTTTTTTGACATTCAAGTCCCTTTAAAAATGTCTGTTTTTATGAGTTTATTCATAATTCTCTGTTAAAATGACACTAGTGCTCATTTGTTTAATCCTGTTGAATATAAAGCTTCTGATCAGAGAACTGGTATCCTTCCATGCTTTCAGATGTTAAGTACTGGGCTTTTCCTTGACAATGAGGTTACATATCCAATAAGGAGTCTAGAAGATGGAGCTCATGAACACTGACTCTAGAACTCAGGCTTCAAGTCATTTTATTGCTCAAGAGCCAATAGTTGGGCCTTGGAGTTATGATTATGATGGAGGTGTCTGCCCCATTCTCTTTCTTGGCTGTAGGAACACTGTTTAAATACAATACATGATAATTTACTATTGCTTCACTCTGTTTTTACTTTTTAAGGATACTAAGTCTCTAAAGTTGGGCAGTATTATTCATTAACTTTTATAACGAAAAGGTTTTCGTATTTTTATTTTCTTTTGTCTTTTTCCTTTTTATCGGTACCAGGAATCGAACTCACGACTGCCTGCTTGCAAGGCAGGTGCTTATGCCGCTGAGCTAAATCCCCAGCCCCTAGGTTTTCGTATTTTTAACTGAAAAAAATTTACAACACAACTTCTTAATTGATAGCCATTGAAAAGTTTCTTAATATAAATAATAGCATATTTTTATATTACTGAGACCGAATATTTCTCTTAAAAATATATTGCTTACAGAACAGTGCTTTTATATAAGTTAAAGAACATTAGAAACCAAGGATGTGGGGCTGGGGATTTAGCTCAGCGGCATAAGCGCCTGCCTTGTAAGCAGGCAGTCGTGAGTTCGATCCCTGGTACCGATAAAAAGGAAAAAGGCAAAAAAAAAAAAAAAAAAAACCAAGGATGTGACCTGATTTGGAACAAATGGAAGTTTCAGGTCACCCACCTTGTTTTCTAGACTCCTAATTGGATATGTAACCTCATTGTCAAGGAAAAGCCCAGTACTTAACATCTGATAACAGCAAAAAAGGATTAAATGAATTACAGAAATTATGCAAGTCAGGAATACTGTTAAATGGGAAAAATACAACCATATTTACAGTATGGTCTCATTTTTAAAAAGTTAGAGCTGTAGCTTTATCTGTATATCCCAACAAGGAAAACAAAAAAAAAGACAAACCAGAAGGAATTAGGGAATTACTTTTGTCTTTTAGAAGCTTTTATATTCATATGTCAGGAAGAATGCTTAACAGATGAACTTAACCATTTGGAAATTTTTGAAGATTGTTTTTTACCCCAATGCATTTCTATTTCAGAGATCGCTTGATTCATATTACCCATTCATTAATTTGGCATCTTGGATATCCAGGTCTTCTGCACAGAATTATTTTATTCCATTTCTAGAAAGCAAACACTACAGGCTGAAAGTTCAAAATGAAGACAGCCTGGTTTGTATGAGTTGTTACTTTTGTGCACCCGTTAACATGTTTCTAACTTTCCCTCCCAATTTCAATAAAACCCTCAACATTAAAATCTTGCCCCCCCAATATCTTAAATAGTATAAAACAAAACCACAAAAAGCAAATAAAAAACCCCCAAAACACTAGGTTCTGAATTAACAGTTCTTATATAGAAGATGTATCCTTTATCAAAGTACTGAAAAGAAAATCTATGGTCTACACTTGTGCCTGGCTTTCCTTTGTAGATTTGAGGATCACAACACCTTTGTCCCTACTACACTTTATTTTTATGCTAATTACATTGAGAACAGGGAAGTTTCTAATATTTGAAATGTATTTTTAAAAAACCCTATTAACAGCCTCTCATAATATATGACAGAGCAAGAAATCTTGACTTACTTATGCAAAAATATGAAAATGCATTTTATTATTATCTGGGGATAATGAAACAAAATCAGAGCACATGCTGGCATTTTAACTGTGTTAAATCCAACACTTACATGAATCAATTTATTAGCAATAAGCCAGTCTACTACCTCATCAATACAGATGGCTAGTATCAGGAAAGGAAGAATAAGAGAACCTCAGAAAACACAAAAACAGTTTCAAAGCAACAGAGGCATCAGTGTGAAGCATATTTAAAAGAACTTAGAAATTAGTTTCCCAAAGACTAAAACCAAACTCAATTTGCAAACATAAATGGAAGACACTTATAAAAGTAGTTTTAAAAAGTCACAAAGGTAAGTTGGTGCAGTGGGAATGAACATTTATTTGCGCCACAGACAATATATTTGCACCAAAATTATAAAATGTAAAAACATTTTAGATGTTTATACACAAAGACTAATGTTTCCTCATAGATACTCAGATATTTTAACTTTCTCCTTGAAGATCTGTTCAACTTGGCATGTAACAAACAATCAAAAACTAAATTAATTCTTTAAAATTATTAGTAAGAAAAATGATTAAACATTACATCTGTGCATAATCACTCATGTGACAACTCAAAATAATTGCATAGTGCTGGGAATAGGGTTGCTAGATAAAACATAGTATTCCCAATTAAATTTGAATTACAAAGAGTATTTTTAAAAATGTAAGTATGCCCCAAATACTGTATGGTAGTATACAGTACAAATATATCCTGTATAGTATTTCAGATATGAACAAACAAAACTACTGTTAATCTGAAATTCAAATAAAACTGGGCTTCATCTTTTTATTTTCATTTGCTGAAGTACTAAAACAGAAACACTCTACTTTGTACTCCATCTTTAAACGTCATTAACAGACTCCTATGGAGCAAGTCTTCCTGTGTTCAGCCCAGTGGCCACCACTTCTCTGCTTAGCTCACAGCAGGCTCAGACCCACAGGACCCACACACTGGTAATCCCCATACCAATCCCACCTTGATTATTATGTATTTCATTTGCTATGTACATTATTTTATTTTCAATTAGCTATCAGTATTAAAATGGAATGAACAAACAT